TTCCAAGTATTCAACCACTGTTTGAGTCGAAAAGGGAATCTAGCTAGGTAAGAATTGTAGGTAGGGTAGAATTTGTGTTCCCACAGGTCATCAAGAAGGATTGAAGAGTTAACATACAATACCCCGACCTCATAGCCCTGACCTTGATTTGGTGGTTTTGGGGGACATCAAGTTATGGGTTAATGGGAAGAGTTCGGGGATTATGGGTCGAGTTCGTGATTCAGTAGATCTGGGGTCATCAAGTACTAGCCAAAATCCCGAACGGACTAAAAATTAGGGTTGGTTGTATTTTAGATCCGTTTGGTTTTACATCCAATTTTGATTGTGGCTTGGATTAAAAATTATTCAAATTATGTTCGATTCGAATTTGAGTTAGTTCAAAAAATAGAATCAATCCAACCCACGTCCACTCTTAGCAGCCTCTATGAGCTTTTAAAGTTTTATTCATTATCCAAGAAGAGATGCCATCTTCAAAAGATAATATTGAAAGAATGACTATTTAGCTTGGCGCGAACCTAAACGTAGATGTGAGATTATGAAAGTATGTAAGATAATGTGTTTTGGAATAGTGATTTTTTGGCAAATATTTAGTTAAAAAAAATGAACTTACTTGTAACATTATTTGATGAAAGAATGTGATTGAAAATGAATTTTCAAAAAATATAAATTGTTTAAAAAATGGGGTCCAAGCAAGGGCTAATATCTAATACGGAGAAAAAGAAGATTGACACAAGTTTTTCTTCATCAAATAGACTAAATGAGTAATAGAGCAAAATGTTAAGGACAGCATGGAAATATCTGAAGGCTTGATGTGACGCGAGAATGTCATACCACAAAGTAGGAACATGAGGTAGATCTATGGCAAATTAGGTCTAAACTTCGACGGTACATGACGATGGGGGCATCGTCTAATTTGGTAGGGGAGTGATTTACATTTTGCATGGTTATGGTCGATACGTTCAGGTTGCGATTAAGAAAATCATGTAGGCCGACATAACTACCTGCTGCAGAAGATGCAGGTTGGGAAAATCAAGTACTACGAGCAATGTGCTATGGTAGGATGAAAGTACCTGCGATAGGGGATGCAGATCGGGAAAATACAGATACCATGACAGGGGACGCAGGCATTGCAGTAGGGGCGTAGACTGGCAAAACTCAGGTAGACTGTGTAGGCACTGCGACGGGAGATGCAAGCAGTAACTCATGTAGACTATGCAGAAGAACAAAGGTAGCAACTGCAATCAGACAGTGCATGCAAGACATAGGCTGGAAATGTAGGGACGGAAGTCAGGTTTTTCTAAGGTAAAAAATTGATATTTTGGGGGATGCAAGTAGGTGCCAAGTTGTGAACCTGCATAAAGAAGCCAAATCCAATTTGACAAGTACAACTTGCTTGAGAAAGCAAAGTCCAAGTTGATTACTACAAACTTGATGCAAAAAGCAAGGTCCAGCTTGACCACTTGAATATGAGTTGTAGAAATAACCCACTTGCATTGAAAAGGACATGGCAACTAGCTTATGGTTGGAAAGTGGCATGCAACTTGCATAGAGTTTGGAAGGGACATGATGTGGAGGAATGATAACTTGCATGAAGAGCGTAAAGAATTGCAACTTGCAAGACAACAATTTCCAATTTGGCTGCCTTGTGGTCTGAGGAGATGGATGACAACTTACAACCAATGAAGACCCCTTGAATCAAGTAAACCCTAGGCATTGATGTCAACTTGCCTAGTAACAGTTTGCCTATAAATAGATGTATTGGGTCATTTGTAAAATCTCATGAATGAATTCATGGAGGGAGTGATAGAGAGTTGAGAGAATTTCCACGGATGAAATGGGAATAAAGTGAGATAGAGCGATATCTTATAGAGAGAAAATACTTGAAAGATATATAGCCCTTGTTTGAGTCCCCCTTTTTTTTTTTTTTATCAAAATACATTTTTCAACAGTGACTTGACCACACATTATTCAATATGATAATATTACACGTAAATCTAAAACTTTTCTTTATTTTTTAACCACACATTTTCCATTAATACACTATTTAAAATGTATTTTTTGACAAGAATAAGGCTAAAACAAGGGCATAGTTTTCTCTTAAATTTATACAAAGAGGTTTTCCAAATATATGTGGGTGTTTTTTCTATATAATTTCTTATCTACCTTTTCTACTCGAAGACATATAATTTCATCTCATAGGTTAAATTATCGTGAGGTTTAAAGTTGACTTAATGCTAATTTGTGGGGATGGGAGTTGTAGAGAGTTAAAGCCGCACAGTGCTAGCTTCGCTCGGGAATGAGTAAACTAGGCTTGTCACAATTGGTGTTAGAGCAAGGTTCATAGTGGTTGAACCAATTTTCATCATAGAGGTAAAGTGTCATCCGTGTAAGGTTCAAATGGTTGTGAACTGCAGAGATGGTATCGAAGTGAAAGTTTGGCCGTGTCAACCAAGTTCGATTGTAGTAGTTGGGCTTGTGGGAGGTTATTGGATCTAGATTAGGGTGTGATGCTTAAATGACGAAATCTCAAGATAACATTGTAATTGAGGTAGATGAGAGAGACATGGTGATTTCTTGGTAGAAGGAATGAGGTTCCACGATAAGAGTAAAGCACGGGAAGCTTCGTTGATAGAAGGAAAACTTGACCCAATCATCACCAATATGGGTGACAAAGTTGAATCTCCGGAGCACTTTTTGAGACATTGGAGGGCCATGTTGTTGGAAAGTTAGAGACTTTCCAAATTAACTTCCAAGAGGTGATGGACGATTAGGCATCGTTGAGTGTCCAGGCTGTGGGAGACCAACAGGTTGCCTTGGATAAAAAATTTGCCCATCTTTAGGCCAAAGTCATTGATGTCGTTATTTCGATAAAAGGGGCAAGTGAACTAGTTAACCATGACGTTGGAGAAAATGAGCAAGGAGCTCAAGCAATGCAAACATTCCAGTATTGATACTAGCGGAGGTGCTACTATTAGTGCCCCGAAGATTATCTGAAATTTAATTATAGATCCAACGACAACAAAAAAAACTTTTTGGAAAAAGGAGTACGAAGACAAGAAAAGAGGTAACTTTACACCTAGTGGATGCTTCGTTTGTAAAGGTGCGCATCTCACACGGGATTGTCCTAAGTTCGGATCATTGGCATCCATCTTGGGAACACAACATGAAGGCTTTGAAAGTTACGAGTCAGATTGGTTCATTCCAGTTGTTCAATGCATTGGAGGCAAATATTGTTCCGAGGACAATAAGGGATCTTCATGTATGGTCTTTCTAGTTAGCCAAAGTCCTTGAGAATAATAAGGACATCAAAAAGTGGGTGTATAGATGTTCAAAGCTTCGACATGCTTAGGGATGCTACTATCAGAGGAGTCGTCCATTTGAGGAACCAATGCAGATGTGCAGAGTGTAAAGGTTGGTGTTGAAGGTGGTATGTAAGAGGTTACAACGGGAAAAGGTGCAGGGTACTATGGATGCCCATCGATCAAGGGGATGGTGTCGTAAGTAGGGAATATTTCCATGCCCATTAACATGGAGGATAATGCACAACTTAAGTTGCATGAGGATACAAAGAATATGTTATGCTATGAGAACATTAGTGTACTGAGTAGGAAAAAATGTCACAGGCAGCAAGGAAATGACTCGAGGCTTGATGTGACACGAGAATGTCATGGCACAAAGTGGGAACATGAGATAAACTTATGGCAAATTAGGTCTAAACTTTGACGATATAGGACGATGAGGACATCTCTTAATTTGGTGGGGGAGTGACTTACATCCTCCATGGTCACGATCGATACGTCATTGTGGCCGGGAAAGTTGGGTAGCTCAAGCAGTATGCTACGACTAATGTAACTACCTGCAGTATGAGACACAAGTTGGGAAAATTAGGTAGCGCAGGCAATGCGTTACGGTAGGACAGAACTACTGGTGATAGGAGATGCAGGTAGGGAAAACACAAATACTACGGCATAGGTTAGAGGCATTATGGCAAGGGAACGCATGCAGGCAAGCAAAACTCAGGGCCCTACTTGTTTGTGTATATATATGTGTGTGTGTGTGTGTGTGTGTGTGTGTGTGTGTGTGTGTGTGTGTGTGTGTGTGATCCCATATTTGAAATTGGTCTAAGATCTCCAAAATCTCAGGGCTGGACTTGTTTAGTTGGAACATTTACATCTAAGTGCAACCATATGGATAGAAAAGGTCAAAAATTATCTTACTTCTAAATGTGAATTCTTTCTTTCAAGGACAGCATGGAAATATCTGAAGGCTTGATGTGATAGGAGATGCAGGTAGGGAAAACACGAATACTACGGCATAGGTTAGAGGCATTATGGCAAGGGAACGCATGCAGGCAAGCAAAACTCAGGGCCCTACTTGTTTGTGTATATATATATATGTGTGTGTGTGTATATGATCCCATATTTGAAATTGGTCTAAGATCTCCAAAATCTCAGGGCTGGACTTGTTCAGTTGGAACATTTACATCTAAGTGCAACCATATGGATAGAAAAGGTCAAAAATTATCTTACTTCTAAATGTGAATTCTTTCTTTCAATTTAAAGAAATGATATTTCCAATACTTATAAACAAATTTATTCAAGCGATAGATCGCTATTTCCATCACAATCATTTTAGTCCCCATATTTGAGGTAAATATAAGTCACATCTTTAAATAGAATTAATGTACGTCCATCTTCTTAACTCTTAGAAGAGTTAAAGATATTACACCGTCGTTGAGCTATTTACTTGCCTCGAAGATGATCTCAGATTGTCTTGATCTTGTTACTCTTCAATTAGCAACAAATATTTTTCTTACGATACCTTCAATTCATCATATGACTGTTCATAATTGACGAAATTGGTCTAAGATCTCCAAAATCTCAGGGCTGGACTTGTTCATTTGGAACATTTACATCTAAGTGCAACCATATGGATAGAAAAGGTCAAAAATTATCTTACTTCTAAATGTGAATTCTTTCTTTCAATTTAAAGAAATGATATTTCCAATACTTATAAACAAATTTATTCAAGCGATAGATCGCTATTTCCATCACAATCATTCTAGTCCCCATATTTGAGGTAAATATAAGTCACATCTTTAAATAGAATTAATGTACATCCATCTTCTTGACTCTTAGAAGAGTTAAAGACATTACACCGTCGTTGAGCTATTTATTTGCCTCGAAGATGATCTCAGATTGTCTTGATCTTGTTACTCTTCAATTAGCAACAAATATTTTCCTTACAATACCTTCAATTCATCATATGACTGTTCATAATTGACGAAATTGGTCTAAGATCTCCAAAATCTCAGTGCTGGACTTGTTCATTTGGAACATTTACATCTAAGTGCAACCATATGGATAGAAAAGGCCAAAAATTATCTTACTTCTAAATGNAGACAAGATTGCCATCATTTGATGTAACTATATATCTGGTATTTCTAAAGGTAAAAACCTTTTTCTCGATTACAAGATCAACTGGATGAGCAGCACAGAACCGGGGGCTGATTACATGGCCATTATTAGCCAAATTCGAATAGTACGGTATTTCTGCCATATCCAATCTTTGAGATGATCACCATATATTCGTTTGTGTATATATATAAACAGAAAGTGAATCAAAGACGTACTTTTTGGGTCAAATTAGGATGGAAGAGGTAAAGACGGTGAAGAAATTTATTTATTTTTTGACTGACTTGATCATCAACAATTGTTCTTCGTTACGTCCATGATATAAGGTTGAATTTTACATTTTGGTTGCGTAATTTAATGGAAAACTCCCTATTTTGTTATTGGTCACTGTTTTCTCTTTGACATTTCAAACAACAAGAGTTCAAATATTTGAACTTTAAACGTGGGACAATAACAAATTGTGGCAGATAAGTATAGATATTAATTAAGAAAGAAATAAAAATCTTATTCACAACTGTTTATCATATTCATAAAAATCTTTCAACGGCTAAAACTAGACAATAAGTCATGGAATAAATAATCTGCCATGTGCAAATTTGACAAGTCGCATATGCATATCGTGTAACTTTCATTGAACAATCATTTGCATGGATCACGAGCCAACGTTATTTGCTCAAGTTTCCAACTCACTTGATTTTAAGGAAAGATCTCTTTCGTAATCATTTTCAAGTGGAATATAATGAAGTACTTCAACTGGCGTCAAACGCGAAGGCAGCAGGCAATCCCAATCACAGTAGCAAAACTGAGGACACAAGTGATCACGAGGATGGCATATAAAAACTCCATTCTCAATATTAGTGGACAAAAATATTTCCCCCAACCCACCTCAAATTGATTTTTTGAGCACGAACTATGTTCATAATAAGAGGTGTCATAGAAGAACAGCATTCAAATTCATCCAAGAATGATAAATTCCACATACCACATTACACCCTGCTATGAAAAATATTGGTATATGACTTGTTAAATCAACTTAATAATGTTTTCACGGATAAAAAACCTGAATGACCATGATTTACGCGATATGTTCAAACTTTAAATTGAACTTCAATAATCCTTTCGCTTTAAGACATGTACCCCGTTAGCCTCAAAATGAATTATGTCAAAAATTACTAGCTGACGTCATACACTACCTAGACAATGAGTTGATGATTTGACATCCCTTTTGACGTCGATTTGATACCTACTATGCCAACAAGTATAATTTGTACCAATTTTTAATGGGAAATACGCTTTTATTGCACTTATAGCGTGACAGCATTTCATGTGATTTTATACTTGTTTGAGAATTAGATGTTAAAAGTAATGTTATATTGGAAAACACAAATCATCAATCTATTGTCCAAATAGCACGTCTGTTTCTAATTATATAAGGCATTCATGTTTTTGGAAATTCGTATATGAAATTGTTTTGACCAATTTATTATTATTTGATGAATGGAAAATTAAGTCAAATTTAAGTCACTTAAATATGTGAATTATTGAAAAATTTCGTGGAATATTACGAAATATTCTAAAAATTATTTGACTGAAAAGATGAGACTTGCTATATGAAAAATTGTGATTCTTAGTATTATTATTTTTCAATAGATGTGTCTTTTCAAATATAGATACTAATTTTAATGGTTGTCTCTCTTCCATATGTCGTATCTTTTGAGACGAACATTTTCAACATTTATATATATAACTCGTGTTTGTTTTTATTCATTCATTCACTCCATGATTGCATTATCACATTAATACATATTCACTTCAAAACTCTGTATTTATTTTGAGTCGAGTTTCATATAAAGAAGGTTCACAACATAAGTATGTTAATCTACTTAATTTAAAGTGCTTCTATTGTGTGACGTGATCGTTGTATCTTGAAAAACGAATGCTGAAAATCCATTAGCACTCATACAAGGCAATATTGTCTTAAGGAAAAAGAGTAGAACTCCAACCTTGATCAAATTCATATTTATGCATTTCTCATTTCATGTGTAATTTTTCCAACATTTTTGGACTAACAGAGTTCATGATTTAGATTAAGTGAATATTGAATTTTGTGAGCGTTTTTCACACCCGACCTGACCCCTGAAATGAGGGTTCAATCGGGATTGTGTATAGCTCGGGGACTACTCAGGGTTTTTAACATATAATCCACTGTGCGTATCACGTATTAACCAAATTCTTCATGAGCCCCACCTCTAAAGGATTCAGCCTTGGCTCCACATACTGATAAATGCAGTGACCAGTTAAGTTCAAAAGGAAGAAGGCGTTGCGTCTCAAGATCTTTTTGGCTTGACAGCTAAAAACTCAAATCTCACATGCCAAAATACATCTTTATTATTGATATGAGCGCAATATTACAAAATCTACAACCGTATAGCTTAATACTAAACAAAGATCATCATAATGGTAACCTCAAGATCACCTAGGAGACCTCACAATTTCCAGGAAACTTGAAGAGAGTCTTGTTTACCAGAAAATATGATTAACCATGAAGTGCTTCCTAAAAGAGACGACAAGAATTGATAGTCCTATTCATCTTCCCATTAGTTTATATCTTTGAACTTGTATTTCAAATCTTGGTGGCAATATGCTCAATGCACTTAAATATTAATTTGTTTAACAGACAAGCCAAAGAATAGCTTTTATAGTGACTCTAGACTCAGTTATAAGGGGAAAAATACGATTTAAAATATGAGTTTTGCTCCTGTAACAGGGAGGCTGACCTCCCTGACAGTAGCCCCGCAAATGGGGGTGGGACCCGCAAAAAAATGGAACCCCCCACCCCAACCTATTTGCGGGGTTCGGACCGCCCCTGTTGCTATAGCAAGACTCTTTAAGATATTAAAAGGGAATGGAATGGAATAAAAGTATGACAAGTCAACTTGGCGTGCACAAAAATTTGTAGGAAATGATATTAGGAAACAAAGGAACACATCCTTCAAATGGATATTGCATGCTGAATCATCATAAGTTGACGGCCGATGATCTACCATCATTGAATTGATAAATCATAATAGCCAACAAGCACCTATATCGCATAAAGGTGACATAAATGGGGAAATATAGTTTGATGCAGATCATAAATTGATGAACTTCAAGGAGATGCAAAGAAGGAATCAAGAAAACAGAGAAAAACAAACCTCATACCACAGTACTCACTTTGCGACTGCAAATGTAAACTCATCACCCTGCCCTTGTTTCTTCACGCTATAATCTGTACTTCAAAATCAAATGAGACCATAGGAAATTGCACCAATATTTATATTTGCGCTGTAAAAATATTGGTTTGCGAAGTGAAACCCCCTACTATTGTTAAGTCAATATTTTCACCATCGTTGAGTTTGCAATCCGACTGACTGACGGATAAAAGGCCTAGCTAAACTGACTTGCATGCCAACGATGTAACCCTGTTTCTCGAGTGTCCCTTTTTCACAATGGGATCAGGTGTTTTCAAGTCTCACAATAGGTGAACCACTAGTCTTCGATTACGAGATACCCATCCTAATCACTATGGGCAGCTTTCCCCGTTTTCCTTAGCTGCGCTATCAATGACCAGGACCAAAGACAGTAAATCCAAGCACTTGACAAAACATCCAAAATAAAAACCTTGAAACAACACAGAACAAACATTATTCAGTAAACTTTTGGTTCATTGGGTAAATTGTTTGTACTGATCCAAAGTTAATTGCAGATTATGTACAAAAAGGCACATTTATATAACTCAATACCATGAGGTGAACAACAATTTATCTACTCCTCCCTCGTAAACAAAGGTATTTAACTCACACTCCATCTACACAAGTAAATCTAAATGCCGAATAAGCACATACTTATTGTACTATAAAGAGAATCACAAAATTTTGAAGAGTAAGCAGGCATTGCTTGTATCATTTGCAGTATTTAAATAGGAAACGATACCAACTGGGAGTTCCTGGATAGATACCCGACAAAGAGGCTGAGGAGAAACTTGCAGAAGGAACTGCAAAAGAATTTCAAATTTTACTTCTCGAGGTTATCCTTAAGACCAACTGTCTCAACAAATAGTCAGCAATACAGCTAAGCAACTGAGCAATAAAATTGGGGCATTAAAAAGAGCAAACCTAGACAACAACAGAGAAACAGTATCAGATGTAGGAAAGAACCGAAATATCATTCATGATTCAATATACCATCGGTTACACTACGTCCATTCAACAAAACCTAACAAAATATTCTACACCCAAATAAAAACCCTACTACGCATATCATCAAAAACAGAAAATTGAAAACTTAACATCAGAAGCCCTAAAAATGAGAAGTTCTTCAAGTGCTGGTAAACTTGGTAACAGCCTTGGTACCCTCAGAAACAGCGTGCTTAGCCAATTCACCAGGCAGCACCAATCTCACAGCAGTCTGGATCTCCCGAGAAGTAATCGTAGGCTTCTTGTTGTACCTGGCAAGCCTGGAGGCCTCCTGAGCCAATTTCTCGAAGATATCATTGATGAAACTGTTCATGATTCCCATGGCCTTGCTCGAGATCCCTATGTCAGGGTGAACCTGCTTCAGCACCTTGAAGATGTAGATCTTGTAAGTTTCTACACTCTTCTTCGAGCGCTTCTTCTTCTTGTCTCCGGCAGCCGCGCCATCCTTGGGAAGCTTCTTCCCGGCCTTCGGCTTCTTCTCCGCCGGAGACTTCTCGGCAGCCGGCGCTTTCTCAGCGGCGGGTTTCTTCTCCGCTGGCTTCTTCTCTGCCTTTGGTGCCATTTTTAGTGAGATAGGAAAGGCTTATGAGTATTTGGGGGAATATTACGAGCGTGCAGAACACAGATAGATGAGGGATTTGTTTGTTGGATGAGGACGAAGAGGCGGAGAATTTTATAGGAGGTTGAGAAGGAGCGTTATTGGTCTAATTAGAACGGCGCGGATCGAGTATATTACCCGTTCATTAGATTCGTTATCCCACGGTGTAGATTTTAGTTCGAAGATTGAATTAGAATTTAGAACTTTTCTGAAGGTTTTGCTTTTGCTTTTGGCGGTAGTTTGAAAGTGAAGCACGTGGAATAAGCTATCGTGCACCGGCTGCTTGTTCGAATTTTTCCTTTTCCCGAATTTTACCATTAGTCCATCTCCAACTCTGTACCATTTTATATCAAGTTTTGCACCAAATTAAAATCTATCTCCAATCATTACACCAAATGAACAATGTTTAACAATTTTCTTTCCTTTTTTATTCTTTATAATTTATTTATTTAATTATTTCATAAATAAATAATTACGTTAAATTATGAAAAAGATTAAATTCATTAATAAATATAAAAAACATAGAACAATTAATAAAAATACTACAACAATGAAAATATGAAATCATGCCATCAAAAAATAGTACAATGCATTTGAAATTTGGATAGACGATATTACGAAGTCGCTAAATTTTTACAATTTAATTCTCAGAATTCATATGTTCATCTCACAAACGATTGATTAATGCATTTTTTATGTAAAATAAAATTAGATTATCGTATGTATGTCGCTATTTAATATATTTCGTGTTAATTTTAATAAATAATCGTGTTTGATGTATTTCGGGCAAAGAATTTCTGAAAATATCGATTTTCATCTTCAACCAACTCAACTTTTGGACTTAACGCTTTCGTCCATTCTTGAACCGGTGCATCATCATTATATTCGTCCTCGATAATCATGTTATGCATTTTATGCATGTAGTCATGATATCATGTAATACTTGTTTTTCCCAAAACCTTGTGGGTCCTTTTGTAGAACATCAAATGCACGTTCAACATCTTTTCTACACGCTTCTTGTTTTCATAGCAAATAACTTTTTTTTAGGATCACGCAGCTCATGAATTATTTGCACAATGGTAGACCATTTTGGATATATACTATCAGCTAGATAATAACCCACATTATATTGTCTTCCTTGAATGATGGATTGAGCTAGAGGAGCAATATCTTGAGCAAGGTTTGCGAAAAGATGAGATCTCTCCAAAACGTTGATATCGTTGCTCCAACCAGAAAGTCAAAAATATGCAAGTCATATCCAAATATCATAATCAACTACAGTTTCGAGGATAATAGTTAGGGATCCACTACGACCTGCATATTGTCGTGCCCATGTGGTTGGACAATTTTTCCATTTCCAATGCATATAATCTAGACTACCCAATATTCCAAGGAAATCACGTTGTTTATTAACATGGGGTAGTCTCTCAATGTCATTCGCAGTAGGTGATCTTAGATATTGCTCAGCAAATATTTCGACAACGGCATGACAAAATCTATTCAAACTTTCAATGACGGTAGATTCACCTATTTTAATATACTCATTAGTAGAATATGCTAACACACCGTATGCCAACATCCGAAACACTATCATTACCTTTTGATTACTAGACAATCCGAGTCTACCTATCACATCTCGTTTTTGCACAAAATAATTATCATGACCTTCCACCGTCGTTAGTATTCGACCAAATAAACGTCGAGACATTCGAAATCGTCGACGGAACATATGTTCATTGAAACATGGGTTTTCAGCAAAGTACTCATTGAAGAGATTTGGAGATGCCAAAAAATTTGGAGATGACGTTAACACGGCCAAAACAATCTACCATAGGCAAGGTCGTGTAAACATTGCATCGTTACAACTAGATTCGTCATTGGAGGACCACGCGTCAACTCATTCAACATCTCCTAGATCGTCCTCATATTCTCTTAATATAAACGAAAACAATGTTGACGATACTTCTATTCAACGACTTATAGGGGTAAAAAAGGCCAAAGAAAAAAGGAAAAATGAAGAAGAATGTATAAAATTACTTACATCCATTAAAGAAGAGAACCGACAAATTCTCGAAATTATGAAACAAAGTAGTAAGGAAAGACAATAAAATTACGAAATAAAAAAAAAATTGGCAATGACAGAATATCGTGAGGAGAATAAAATTTTGTGGACAGATTTGAGTTCAATAACAGATCCACACGTACGTTTGTACTTGCAAAACGAACAAGAAAGAATTTGCTATAAGAGATCTCAACTACAAGATAAAGGATCTGAAAGTTCATTTTGTTTGTTTGAAAATTATTTTAGCAATTTTGGAGATCTGGAAGTGATCTTCCAGATTATTGAACTATGCACTTTTTTATATATCCTTTTTTAAAAAATAAAATTATATTATCGTATGTATGTCGCTATTTAATATATTTCGTATTAACGTTAATAAATAATCGTGTTTGATATATTTTAAATTTTTTCGTCTTTTAATTAATTTATTAATTACTATTCTTACATTTAAAATTTATTTTAAATACAAATAATAATAATAATTTATTGTATTAAAAAATATATAGCACAAATGACATAAATACCCTTATAAATTTATTTGAGAAATGTTAAATAAGGACAAAAGAAATATTTTACACTTTGCACCATTTTGCACCAAAAATGGTGTCATGGTGCAACCATTGGAGATGCCCTTAGTCCCTTGAAATCAAGTTAATGATTTGGTGTTTCACTTTTCATGACTACAACTAATGATGTGTGGGATTGTAAATTTGAAATTTACATAAAAAGAAAATAAGTTATCCGTAATTGAATTGTTTAAAATTTATTTACATGAAAATTATTAGTTAAATGTATTTGATGGGTAGATAATTATGCATTTTTTATTGGTGGGTAGATAAGAGAGAGGAAATAAATGAGAAAGAGAAAATTGTCTGAAAAATAAAAATTTAGGCCTTCCTAAAGAATGTGTTTTTATTGTTTTTGAGGAAAAAAATATGATCATGTGACCAATTTTTGAAATATATCTTTTATGAAAAAAATTGTCAATCAAACACCCAAAAAATGGGAACTTTTGTGAAAAATGACATTTTCATGAAAAATAAAACTAATCAAACAAATCCTAAATGTTAACTTTAGAAGCGTGTTGAATTGGATCGAACTAAAAATGAGTTATTGTATTTGATTGAACCAGACCACGTCCATTCCTAATTAAGATATTAATTCTAATATTACATTTCCACATTTTATATACCAAAAATATTGATATTTATAAGCAAAAATGAAAAGTGCATGTATGCTTTCCATGATTTACGCTCAAACAGTAAGATCGCATCTTTCCAAAGACTTTCAAAATCCCTTATTTCAAGCTTTAACTTATCCCTTGATTCATTTAACTTTCCATTGATTGCATACGGATTCCATTTCCCATTGTTATCCCACTAGAAACTATAATCCCTAAAGCCAAGATTCAACGTCTTATGTTCTTTGTTGTTCATCATCTTGGAAAATAAAATTAGTAAATGAGTCTTCATCAGAAAACCAAAGATTTAACTTCAAATTCAAAGAAAAAGAACAAATCCTAGGTAAATTTCTCACTTTTTAAGGGATTTTTTTTTATCATAATTTATTATAATGCATACATATTGTCATGGCAAAGGTAGTAGTAACAAACATAGATATAAATTTTTATTTGATATGTTACATTTTTCATACAACACAGTGTATTAGATTTTTGTATGAAATTAATTATACATTGTGTAGGTGTGAGCATGTTAATATCGTATATAATATGTGTCGTTACCATTGTACATTTCTTGTCGTTGGTGAGTAGGACTAAAGCATCACGGTAAATTATCCTTTTCATTGCGTCAACTTCGTTCTTTTGTTAATTTCATTACATATCAAACCATATGTTGGATATTAGTTTTTATGACAAGTGCGTTTTTAGGATTTGTATTTTAGTATGGTTTTGTTTTGTCACATTATATGTTTTAATCTTTATTAGTTTCCATGAACTGAGTTATGTTTTAATTTTGCATGTTTCATAACATATTTGTAATTTAGTTGAACATGATTTTCTATTTACCATAGTATCTGACATATTTATCCATACATTTGATCATGAGACGTTACAATCTTAATTGAGTGTATATATATTTTGGCCTGTTAATTATGTATCTCAAACCATTATTTGTTGCTTAATTTGCAGGGCTGATACAAGAATCCTGCCAAGAAGTTTCAAGGTTGAATTATGGTTTTTCCACCTAACGAAGTCATTACCTTGTTGAACTTAATGCTGATGATAAGCAAAAACATTACCATGACCATGTCTGTTTCCATCACAAGATAAACTACTCTATGAAATTCGAAAGCTGTCATTTACTATCCTTGGAGATATTACTACCATTTTATGTACATTATTACAATTCAGCCCCTGTTTGAGCTATATTTTCAATGAAGAAAGTAAAAAAATCTTGACCATTATTTTCAAATGCGGGTCCCAAGAGAGATGAAGTTAAATATGGTGACTGAAATTGGTCTGGTCGGAATTCTCATTTTTGTGGCTGAAAATATGGTTCAAACAGGGGTTCAATCAACTTTTGAGCTTACTATATATAAACTCTACATATATAATCAACATTTACCAAAGGCATACACCTAAAATATTGAGAGGGGAAAAAATGAAATCAATTTGTTGGTGAAACAAAATAAATTGTTTTCATGTGGCCTCCATCTTCAACAAATGAAGCAAGAGTTCACTCCAAGAATCAATTGGTCCAGACAAGCACCAACACACACAATCATTGGACGAAGTCATTCCCGGGTAAACAATGCCAATATTTATAGCGATGCCCATGTTGTCTCTATAGCATAGCTCAAATCAATCAATCTAAATCTCAATCACTTCTTGTTACCTCTATCTTTGAAACTCTAAATTCCTCCAATTGACTCCCTTACAAAACAACTGCCTTTGTCTTATACGATTCCACCAATATTCCAATCTCCATTTCTAAAGTGGGATGGTGTAAAAGTCCTAATTTTTTATCCCA